GGGGGGTCTGGAGGGGGCGGGGGCTTCGGACCTGGTGGAGCTCCGCGCGCGCCCACCACTGGCGCCACCGAGCACCGGGCTCCTCAGTCGCCCCCTTCTTGCACCTGCAAAATCATCTCCCGCCAAACCCCGCCTGGCGGCTGGGGCCAGCGGAAGGCGCGCCCAGCAAAGTGCAGCGGGGCGGAGCAGCGCCACCAGTCCAGCAGCGGCTCCTATCACTGGGTGGGGGATGCTGCGGAGTGTGCCCCCTGCCCGAGACACCCCTGCTTCTGCTCCTGCTCCTCCGCTTCCCCAAGCTGGAGCCATACATCATCGCCACCCGCCAACCTGCTCGGGGCTGGAAAGCAGAGAAGGGGGTCGAGATGGATGGGCGGAGAGAGACTAGAAAGAGCTGGATGGCCGATTCCAAGGCTGGGGGTAGGGTCGGGGCCTGTGGCCCAGGTCCCCACCTGCAGTGGTGGCCACGCGCTCCCGCGCAATCCCCGCCTTCACTCTGTCCCCTGCTGCTCCCTGACAGGGCGACGCCGGGAGCGCGGGATTAGCGCGGCCCGCACCTCCCTCTGCCAGTGACACCTGGCACAGAAAAGTGAGAAGTGGGGGACAGAGCAAAGGGCGCGGATCGGGGCTGCGCCCCGGGAACCCACGGCCGTCCGGATCGCAGGGGGTAGGGGGCGTCGGTGCGCGCCTGGGCGTGAGCGCGCGTGCACGTGGCGGTGGGGATGAGGGGGACCCGGCAAGGCGAGGTGGAAGACAGAGGCCCCTGTTCCGCAGCGACGCCCCCAGTTCCACGCGCAGCCCCCACGCTGCTCCACCGTGAGAACTTTTCGGAACTGACACCCTCGATTTGGGTTTCTGTGAGGGTTTTATGCTTTGAAAGTCCTTCAACTGAAAAATAACTTTCAGGAAAAAAATGGCACAGTCGGTACGTCCCATCGTCCCCCCGTCCCCACCCGCACCTGGCTCTCTCGTTCTCGCGAAAGCCCCAAGAAGAACGCGCAGAAAACAGCGGCTGCGCGGCCTGGGCCGGGAGGTCCACCCTGAGCCCCCGAGCTCCCGGCCCG